GTGTGTGTGTGTGTGTGTGTGTGTGTGTGTGTGTGTGTGTGTGTGTGAGGCTGAATAAAGCATATTTAACATAGTCATAGAAGTTGGCATGAATTTTTACTAAGTAAAATATAATGTTTTCACTACAGAGAATTCCATTTTGAGTTTTCAGTAAGTCAAAACTGCTTGGTCTCACAATTCCAAGAAATTACCTCTAATTGCTACTATTCACTCTGTGCTTTTAAAGATCACCATTCCCAAGAACAGCTGTGGCAAAAACACTAGATCTTCTTGTATCTTGAATTCTTCAATTCCCTCAAGAATCTAAACTTCTAATACCTGTACTAAAGCATCATAAACCACAATGAATCCTTATTGCCTTGGAAAAAGAAAGTAGTGCTTGGAATATTGCTTGATAGGTAAAGTATTCACTTCATAAATATGAGAACCTGAGTTTGAAATTCTAAAATCCACATTAATCCAGGTGCAGTACTGTATGTCTGTCATCCTTATACTTTGAAAATAAGATGAGAAATAGTGACGAGAGAACCCATGAAATCTAGTGAGCCAGCTATACACGCAGCAAAGAACAAGAGGCCCTGTCTCAAATGAGATAAGGAGGTGAGGACTAAGAAACACCCATAGTTGTCCTCCGAATTCCATTCATCCATGAACATGCTCTGGCATGCATGCATACATATACACCACACACATATATACACACACACCCATGTGCTGACACACAGACACACTCACGTACATGCATATGACCCCTGACACACATAAACACACACCCCATACACACACTTGTTCCCCACACACATACATACAACCTCACATATATTCATGTGGCCATTGACAAACACACACACACAAACACACAATGTACACACACATGTGACCCTCAGAAAGACATGTTTATACTCACATACTTACACTTGGCCCCCTGACACACACACACACACACACATACATACATACATACACACATCATATACACACTCACATATATTCATGTGTCCCCTAATGCACATACACATACATTCATATACAAACATAGTAAACACACATGTGCCCACACACATATACACTCAAATACACGCATGTGTCCCTTGACACAATACTCCATACACACACATGTGCCCCATACATACATACATACTCACATACATGAATGTACCCACCACACACACACACACACACACACACACACACACAACCAAATACATGCATCATACACAAGTACAAAAGATGAAAAGGGAGGATTATTTAAATAAAAATTAAAGCAACATTTACAAAATAAATTCTCCTTAGAACTTTCTCCACCAAATATTTTCTCTTGAATTTTTCTGGTTATTTACAGAAAACTTTCATGCACAGTGATATACTTGATTTCTTGTAAAGCATGATTATAAACCTGAAGTGAACCTGCTAACATCTGATGTGAGCCTGTCTGTTAGGGTTTTCAAAATAGGTTACATAACTCTTTAAGCAACTTTTGCTTTGCTTTTCTTTCATTCCTTTGTGGTAATAGAGTTATGATTGGAAACATCTACATCTCAAAATCAAGAATATAAATTAGAAGAAAAAGATTTGCTTTACTCAAATTTCCTAAGTTAAGGTACAGTTGTATCAAAAATGATCAGCTCTGCATATAAATTTAACACAAGTTGACAATTTAATCAGTAAAGACAAACAAAAGAAAAATAAAAATACTAGGAATCTTTTCACTTGGATTTACAGGAAGAGTCTGGAATCTTCTTATAATTCTCTTTCTGAATTGACATTCCTTTTTTCCACAATAAGCCACATACTATGAACAATTACAGTTGGGTGAAAATTAAGATAATCTAAGTACAATATCTCATTTTACAAATAAGAGTGTATCATTAATGATAATGGTACTCTGCATTCCATTTGTCTATGCTTAAGACTTCTACAGTAAGTCAATCTTCTATATTAAGTCAGTCTTCATTTCCAATAGCCTAACGACTAACTGTTCAGCAACACACACACACACATACACAATCTATTTTAAGCCACCATCCCTCTTACCTACATTTCCTTAGTAACCTCCTATCTTGTCTCCTTTATTCTACTTTTGTTCTTTTACAGTGAATTTTGAAAAGAGCAAAAAAAGTTATAGTGTGAAACCCAAAGTCATGTCACTCCCCAGCTCAAACTGCAATGACACTATTTTCCCTTCCAATGAAACTCAAAGTCATGACTATGACTACAAGATCCCTGGCCTCATCTCTCACTGCTTCCCCTTCATTCAACTAGCTCCACTCACACTTATCACCTCACTGCTCCCAAGAAAAGCAATCACCCAGAGGAATTCACTCTTCCCTCTACCTGCAACATTCATTTTTTGCTATCTGTGCAATTTTTTCCTTCATCCTCCTAGCAATGTATTTTTCTCAGTGAAGCTTACTCTAGTAATAGTAGTCTAGTAATAACATAGGTCTAATCCATACATTCCCTTGTTTTCGTTCTTTCTTCAAATAATATTTAATATACCAATCTAAAAGCTATTGTTATTCATTGACTGTTGGCTTTTACTTTGTTTTCTCTAGTGCTGGGTCTTGTACATTTTAAGCAATCCTTCTTTCATTGAGCTACAGCCCCAACCATTTACTATCTGTTCAACCCACATAATATGAGCTGTATGAGGATAGGAATTCTTTTCTGTCTGGTTCATATTCCGAAAACAATGCCTGGTACACTAAAGCTCAATAATTATTATGAATGACTCTCATACTTATGACTTTCATAAATATTTAATGCCTCTTGGTACTTTAAGGACTAATAACCCAGAGGCATTCAGGCTCTGTATGACTTGGCCCCAGGCCACCTTCCACTTCTTCTATCTTGACCTTTGTACTACATTAAGCAAAACTTGAAATCTTTTATGTAGTATATCTCCTATGATGTCCTGTTTGTAGCTTTGTAAATCCCTTGACCTGGAATGTTCATTTTAGTAGGAGTATTTCTATTTCTATAGCATCACTTAAATTTAAAATTTGAATACTAGCAAACCAAACTCTTTGAAAATAAAACTAGATAATGACTGTGCTCTATTTTATTCTTGAAGATTTTCCATAATATTTATTTTCAAGAATGATACAGCACCCCAAGGCACAAAGCAAATTATATTCACATAAAAAAATTATACCAATTACTTGATAGACAGCCATAAAGAAAAATACTCCACTCTTGATTTTTTTTATTTATAAATTT